GGTACAAACAGTATAGTGTGCCGTTATGGTTAGACAGTAATGTGTAGCTTTAGAGGTGTTGTTCTTAGAGTCAGCAGCACTTTTTTGCCTATTTGGTTTTATATTAATATAAATAAATTTTGACCTGATGTGAAAACATGATCTAAAATAAGATTTTCAAACGTCATCTTTAGTCATATGAAAGCGGTTTATATCGTGCGTCACAAACAAGGAAACAAAACCAGAAGATCAGCGTGTTGTTTTCACGTTGACTGTCTGTGGTTTCAGTTTTTACGCTCGGTGCAGGTTAAAAGTTCAGACCACAGTCAACTTTTCTCACAGTCAGTGACTGTAAAAAAGAAAGGAAGAACATGACCCTGTCGAGAATACGATGACTTTTATAGTGGTGATTACGCTGAAGATAAGAAAACGAGTCTCTTTTGCTACATGATTCAAAACCTCACAACATTATTACCTGCATTACATCCACTGTATCTTTTTTACTTCTCATTTATGAAGGCACAATATCAAATCTTTGTCTTTATGGTGTTTTATCAGTGAGTCACGCAGTGAGTCTCCTGTCAGAGCTTAATAGGAGATGAAGTCATGGATGGAATGTGACCGTCCACCTTAAAAATTAATGCCTTTTAAGGGAGGTTTTCAGCCGCCAGTCCACCGACGTTTGTGTGTTTCCTGTTTATGGAGTTGAGTTTTCGATGACTCGTTCGAAACACGGAACCTTTGACCCTCACGGGGCAAAATTATGACTCTGCGTAATCGCAAAAGACAACACAAAGAAGACGAAGGATAAGCCCTGTGGATACAAGTCACACATTAAGCAAATAAAAGAAGATTTTATAATATTATGATCCTAAAATAACACTGGAGGAGACACAGTTGAAACTTCAGCACTTCCTGTTATGTTTCACTTGTCAAACAAATCAAATGGAAATACTTGACTACACATATAGGATAAAAATATAAATAGGTTTAGAGACAACAAACAACTGAACAGCTCAGATAGTAAAAGACAAGACAAGCAAAAAACAGCGATCACAATAAAGTCATCACAACTTGTTTATAGTAAAACAACACTTAAAATAAAAGAGAATAAGACAGATAATGATGATGAAAAAATAAAATGCGTATAAATGCCAGTGGCGGGTCGTGCATTTTCCTCCTCGGCCTTCAGTGGCGTCCTACCTGAATCAAACCTCCTCTTAACTCCGTCATTATGACGGCTACAAGGCTACAGAAACCATCAGTATTCTACAGAAAGGCAGCATAACATGACGTTGCACCGCAGACAGCTATCTCATGTATTTCTCAGGTATCCTCTGTTCCTCACTGCTATTATAAATGCTCACATTTTTATATCCATTTTATACCTATTGTCACTTATCTACTTTTTTATATACATCTCGAGGCTCTACAAACGTCTTGTTTTTATCTTGCACAGTTTGTTTGTTAATTTATAACTTATAGTTGTTCTTTGCACTGAATGGGATTGCACCCAATTTCGTTGTACTTTTTTTTTGGTATAATGACATTAAAGGATTCTGATTCTGAGAATGAATGCCATCCCTAAAGCAAGAAACCAAGTTAAAACAATTATTCCATTGACTGCAGCCACAGCGGCACCGTTTGCATCAATATCAGCCCCAAACAACTGACCAAAATATAGATTTTACTCAGCGAAACCTGTGATTATTTGAAGACAAACTCCATCCTCCTTTCTTTCATTGTAAACAGTTCAGTCACTCTGTTGAACAGCTAATGTGTGTGTTTCACTTCCAACAAGTCCTGTTTTGTCTCTATGGAGGCTGACAGTCGGCTCTGTCCAGTCGTGTTTCTGCCATAAGTTTTAATTCGCTGTAGGGCTGAGAATGTCTGCTTGCTTAACTTAAAAAAATTAAAATATAATACTCTTGCGATAAAGTTTTAGCTTGTGCAGGTCGCTACAGACAGGAACCGCTAGCTTTGGCTCAGCTCTCCGACCATCCAATCAGAGGACGTGAAAGTGGTGATGTCATCGCAGGCCAGCTAGCTGGTCCTGGGACCACCAACTCTCAATCTGATTGGTTAAAGCACAGCCCAGAGACAATATGAAATGAAGAGAAGGGACTATTGGGAATAATGTAAAAAGATTAATGGGAAAATATTAAGACAAAAGTCAGTGATGAGTTTAGACCAGCTGACGGCACACCACCGATAAATACTATAGGATTATAAAACACTACATAGAAGGTGCTACAACTCACCACTATTTTAATTCATGTGCTGATTATTTTTCTGAATTAATGAATTAGTTTGGTCTATAAAATGGTGAAAAATGTCTATTTTTTTGTCCACAACCCAACTACAAGCAGTTTACTGTCACTGAGAAGCAAATAAACTAGGAAATATCGACGGTTAAGAAGCTGCAATCAGAAAATGTAGACTTTTTTATTCTATTTAATGGATAACCAAAATACTTGACTATTTATTTAATAGCTGCACAACTAATAAATGAACAGAAAAAGTGCTGCAGCTCTTACAGATGGATTCTCATTTTAAAAAATCTACATTTGATCACCTCTCACCTTGAATGAAACGCTGCTCTAGCAGATAACAAACGTTTAACAAGCAGCAGATAAGATTTATTGTATTTCACGTTGCCCACCTTCGTCCTCACATAGTGTCAGCACGAGAGAGTGTGTGCTGTATGTCATATAAGAACACGTTTCAACACAAATTTTAAAAAAACAAAAAAAGAGAAATAAAATGTCAAAAGAAAAAGCAAAGAAAATACAAAAATTAATAGAAACTGTGACATTTCTGCCACTGTGTCTCGTTGACTCAAAATGATTATCTACTGTTATTAGCTAAAATTCATGTAAAAATCAACAATAAAGTGTACTTATTATGCAGGAAAATAAGCGGATAAAGTCTAGTTTTACCTGCTTTACACAGGCTGGTTGAATGTAACAGTAGGTGTGGAGTTATGAAATGATTCATGAACTGGGAAATAAGAAAAAGTGACAGCCAGATGCTGAGATGTGCACCTACTTTAAAATTATTCCTTAATCTTTACTATTTTAATGAAAAACATTTCATAGTTTTTACCTCCGTCTGAGCCATTAACAGTTACTTAAATGAAACCATATGAGAAGTTTAGTGGAGAACACCACTCTTTGTTGGAGCTGATTGTACCAGATTAGAGGGGAACAGTGTGGAGATAGTACCGTCACACAAGTACCTGGGAGTAGTGTTGGACAATAAGCTGGACTGGACTGCCAACACAGACCATCTTTACAAGAAGAGCCAGTCCAGGCTGTACTTTCTCCGAAGGCTGAGCTCCTTTAACATCTGCTCTAAACTGCTGCACTTGTTTTATCAGACAGTGGTGGCGAGTGCCCTCCTGTATGCTGTGGTGTGCTGGTGCAGCTCCAGTAAGAGGAACATCGCCCGACTGAACAGAATCATGAGAAAGGCTGGTTCAATGGTTGGACTAAAGCTGGCTCCTGTGGAAGAGGTAGCAGAGGAGAGGACTCTGTCCAGATTCAGGGCCATCATGGACAAAACCTCACATGCTCTGCATGGGGCCTTCACGGAGAGGAGGAGCATGTTCAGCAGTAGACTGCTGTCCCAGCGCTGCTCCACTGACAGACTGAGGAAGTCTTTTGTCCCTCGTGCCATTAAGATTGCACAACTCTGACTTAGCAATTAAGTAATTTTAATTTTTAGACTTGGCTGTTTTTATGTATTCTTTTATTTTTATTTTTTTTTAGATTTTAATATTTTAGTAACTTATTTTGTGTGAACTGTGTGAATGATAGCAGTTGGTAGAATCTTTAATTATATGCAACACCAGTCAACGTTTGGACTCGTCTACTCATTCTAGGGTTTGTTCTTTTATATCATTATCATTAAAGACAAACTACAATATAATGTATTTGCATGAAATAAAATAGGTTTCATATTTTAGTTCCGATATATACAGTCGCCCTCAGATGTATTCATACCCTCCCATTAAAGAAGGGAAAAAAAACATCTGTCACTGAAATAAGTTGGAATTGACAAAAGTAATAATAAATGAAAAAAATAATGAAAATCATGACATAGCTTTTGAATTGTGTTCAACAGAAATATATTTTAAAAAAACAAAAAAAAAAACGAGCATGATGGGGCCCGTAAACTAATATTTTGTTGAACAACCCTTTGAGCCAATCACTGCAATCAAGCATTTTCTGTAACTCTCAATCAGTCTTCTGCACCTGTTGACAGGTATTCTGACCCACTGCTCATCAGCAAAGTGCTCTAATTTATCCGGGACAGGTTTTTGTTATTGTTGTTGTTGTTGTAATTATTCTTTTCAACCACAATTCAAAAGCAATGTCTTACTTCACTAAACTGTATTTTAGCAATTTTTTATTTATTATTGCTTTTTTTCAGTTTCTTGTCATTTGAGTGACTATTGTGAATGTTGCCTTTTCTTGCCTTCTGGAAGGGTGTGAATACATTTGAGCACGACTGTAAATCAGGCTTGAACTGGATCAGTCGTGGGTGAGGATCTGGTGTTGGAGTTGCGTCTCTGCTTTTTTGCAGATGATGTGATTCTGTTTGATAATAACCTGTGCTTGCTTCCATATATGATACGAGTGTGTGGAGACCCAGTGTGTGTTGACATCAGACATCCAGCAGATAAAATGACTATTTCCTTGTTGCAACAGCTTTTACTGACCTCACAGAGAGCTGAGCGACACCAGACATCTAAAACTACTCAACGTGTGCAGCTATGGAGTTGGCTCTGTGTGCGGTTTGTATTTTCAGCAGCGCAGACTCTTCTGCATCGTCACAAAAATAGACTGCCAAAGCATTTTATGACAGGAAAGGCAGCAGCGTGCTACTATGATCCTCTTCTGCGAGTGCACACTGCTGCTTGTGATGTAAATATTACAGTCTGAGTGCAGAGATGACAAATGTAGGTTAGTTTGTGGTTCACTATGCAGATTATTGACAGACCAGAGCTGAACTGTTCAGTGTCTGAGGGTGTGTTTGCATTGCAGACAGAGAGGAGGAGCAGGACGATGGACACAGCCGAGCCTGTTGCACACAATGTTTCTGTAAGTTATTTATAACTTAGAGCGCTGCTTTGTCTACTTTTGACTTGACTAAACTTATATGAACTCACTGGGATCCACACACCACTAATACATTACCCAGTCCGGTGTCTTTTTATCCTGTTCATGTTTCGTCCATCGGCGTGATCTGTCATTACGTTTGTCTGTTGAGTTTCCAGAGACTCACAAATGCAAACAAGCTGGTGTGCAGCCGATATAATGGAGGTAACAGGTCAGCAGGAAAGAATGACTCACCCGATACAGGGGCTAAAAACAGAAAGTGTGGCAGGGCCGGAAAGCTGGGGGGCCGAAGAGGGCCCGACGTTCACGCAGTTTCACCACCAGGGTGCACCAGAGGAACTAACTAATCACCACTCCTGCTATATTTAAAGGGTAGAAACATGGCTGACATGATGACTCCTGCAAATAGATGGATTGAGCACAGCCATGGCTAAAAACTACAGCAAAAGGAAACGCAAAAGTGGGCGCCTGGATGGCTCGGCGGGTGGGGCGGGTGGCCCATGTGCAGGGGCTGTGGTCCCTGGCGCGGCGGCCACGGTTCGGTTCCGGCCGGTGGCTCTTTGCTGTGTGTCGTTCCCCCACTCTTCTCCCCACGTTTTTCTGTCACTCTTTCACTGTCAGCTATCATTAAAGGCGGAAAAGCGGAAATGCAAAATTGTTGTGAGGAAACATAAAAGTTATTGTAGGAAATCGCAAAAGGGACTGCGAGGAAATGCCACGTTGTGATAAAATGAAAATGTTATTGCAAGGAAACACATGAATTATTGCCAGGACAAGCAAAAGTTATTGCCATGAAAAGCTAGCTATTGCTGGGGAATGCTTAAGTTACTGTGAGGAAACACAAAATTTATTGCAAAGAAACATGCAAGTTATTGAGAGAAAATGCAAACGTCGAGAGGAAACACAAAAGTTATTGCAATGGAACACAAGTTATTTGTAGGGAATGCATGAATTTATGGGTAGGAAACACACAAATGATTGCCAGGGCAAAAAAAAAAGTTATAGCGAGGAAATGCACAAGTTCTTGCAAAAGAATGCACAAAGAAAGTGAGAAAGGTTCTGTGAGGAGATGAAAAAAAAAGGTATTGCGTCAAAACAGTTAAGTTTTTGTGAGGAAACATAAAAGTTATCGTAAGAAATCGCAAAAGTTACTGCGAGGAAATGCTAAGTTGTGATGAAACGTTATTGCGAGGAAACATAAATTATTGCCAGGAAAAGCAAAAGTTATTGCAATGAAACACAAGTTAGTTCTTGGGAAGGCATGAATTTATTGATGGCAAACGCAGAAATGATTGCCAGGAAAAGAAAAAATGATGGCGAGGAAATGCACAAGTTCTTGTGAGTAAACAAATTATTGCAATAAAATGCAAAAGTTGTTGTGAGAAAACAGAACAGTTATTGCAGGGGGATGGAAATGCTGTCCTCAAACCTTCTGTCTGTGTAGTTTAAGGGCTCATTCGGGGACACTTTGGTTGTAACCAGAAGTCCATTTCAACTACAACAAACATGACATATTATTTTCATGGTGGCTACAAGATACCAGTTTAATTTACAAGAACTGTTGCTCCTAATAAGAACAAGTCATGACCACAAACTTAGTCTGAGATGAGCTGCATGGTTTCCTGCAGCGCCTCTGCAGGAAACACAGGCTGCTGTCATCTGACTGTCAGAGCAGCTGATCGCTGGACCACGGTGGCACCAACAGGCCTCCATACCAGCAGACCCCGGCTCCAGGCTCCACGCCCAGGCTTCTGCTGCAAGCTGCTGATGCCAGATGTGTGGTCAGTGATTCCCCACGAAGCCCCGCCGTGACCCGGAGACACTCTGGAGGAAGCAGAGCGAACATGAGGCTGTGTGATCTGAGGAGGGCGCAGCGGAGCGGAGACGCTTTCATTTCCCACCGAGAAGACCTGAAGCCACGTGAGGAGGAGGGTGAGGAGGGCGAGGAGGAGGAGGAGGAGGAGGAGGACAGGAGGACAGGACTTACTTTACGGTGGGTGTGAGGCATCCACATCTCAATCTGAGGTGACCGGAGGACGGACGACGACGAAGGATCGGTGCGTCACAGCTGCTCTGGAGGTGTTTGGACATTTCTGCTGCATTTCATCTCAAATTCGACACTTTTCCGGTATATTTTATGACCAAATCATCCACGTGTGGTGATTTTACTTCAAATTGTGTCGGTTCTCTGGAGGTTTTGTTGGAGAAATGGTGATGTAAGGTGTTTGGATGAAGCTGGGGAATGTAAACTGGCTGCTCTTCCTCTGACAGGACGCAGACATGGACGACAAGAGCGACATGGAAATGCAGGCTTCAGCCAAACTGGAACAAAACGGAGACTTAAGGTACAAAAAAAATCACTTTAAATTCTCTATTTCTCCAAATGAAGACGGTTTCAGACACCAGTTCATCAGTCCTGCACTTCAGTGGCAGTTTTGAGATACTTTGCAGGAGTATTTAGTTTTTACCCATAAAAAAAAAAAAAAAAAAATCGAGTTTATGGAAGCTGTGTAGTTGGTTTCAAACCAGCAGGAGCTGATTAAAGTGTTTTAAACATGTTTCAATCAACAAAGTATGTGCAAAAAAAATAAGCAAAACAGGATATGAACTTGTAAATAAATAAATGTTAAATGCAAAAAAAGCAGGCCAGAACAGGAAGTCAGCTTGTAGGATCAGCTTCTATAAATAAAAATGGAAAAATAAAATAAATATTTAGACTTCTTAGAGTCACTAAAAGCCACAGAAAACCTCTTGAGGTTTTTTAATAGAAGTCTGGATAGAGGAGGAGCATAATCTGACTTCACACCGAGGCCTGGAGGTCGATCAGGAGACTCTTATGTCGACCTTTGCATCATTTCATTGGCAAATAAAAGAACATTTAAAATAAATTCTGGTGTCAACAGGTCATAAGTGCAGCGATTTCATACTTTTAATCCACAGCTGTGCCCCATTTTTTCATAACTTTGGTCACCAGTTGCTTTGCAGATTCAGAAATAAAATGAATCCAAACATGTTGTGATGTTTTCCTTTAGTGTAGGTTAAGATAGTATTTATCGATCAGCAGCCACCCAGCTGTATGTAAAGTGATTAAAAGCAGCCTCACGTCCACCAGCTGCCAGATGAAGCTTGTGTACACACCAGCAGGTAAAGTCCAGCGATATGTCATATTCTCAAACAGACCATCCTGCATGTAGGATTTGGTGCTGATTCTCATGCGCTTTTACTAAAGTTTGAATGAATGAATGATGCTTAAGTGACTTCAACACTGTGTTGTGTAAATAAAAAAACAAAAACCTGTAATTTGGCTGAATGTTCAACATAAAAGCTGTGACTGATGATTATTTTTATTGCCCAACAACACGACGGATATTTACTCGGTTAAAACAATTAGTTGTTCATTTAAACTTTTATTTGTACACCTTTGAAACAAATCCGATGCACAAAACATAGAAATAGATTTATCGTTGACTCATAAGCAGCAAAGGCTGAATACAAATAAATGAAAGATGTGTACTTAAAATAGTAAGAAATTTTTTAAAAAGATATAAAAATAACAGTAAAAGTGCAATTCTTAAGTAAATGGATGAATTATTTCTAGTAAAACAACAAAACTAAATCTACATTCATCATGAAACCATCCAGTTATAGAACACTACGTGACAGAAGCTGCAGCTCATGATTATTTTCATATATGACCAAACATACGTGATGAGACTAATGCACACGAGTAAACTGGAAAATTCAAGACTATAAAGAAATAGTCAGATAAGATAACAAGGTGGATAAATAACAGATAACAGCAGCAATTAAAACAGCAATTAGAATAAACAATGATACAGAACTTGTTCATAGTAAAACAGTAGGAACATAAAGTAGAATCAGATAAATAATAATGAGGATATAAAAGATAAAATGCATATAAACGCTTGAAGATTATTCAACACTGCGTATAACGGGGATGCAACTTACCACTGTTATTATCAATGTGTTGATTATTTTCTGGATCAGTGGATCAATCAGTGGTGAAAAAAGTGTTTCTCAAAGCTCAAGGTGACAAGTTTTGTCCAAAGATGTTCAGTTTATTGTCACAGAGGAGGAAGGAAACCAGAAGATGCTCACATTTAAGGAGCTGAAATCACTGAATTCAGACTTTTGTTTCTTTCTCTAACCAAAAGATCGCTCATCAGAGTAGTTGGCGAATAATTTGATGCTTGATTAAAATCGAGGTGGCTCTCTTGGACGATGTTTTTATGTCCTCCAGAGCGGATGATGATGACATGGACCTGAAAGGGAAGAAGAAGAAGAAGAAGAAAGCGGAGTCGCTGCCGATGGTTGGACCGATAACTGTGGTAAGTCCAGCTGAACTGTTCATGTGGTTATAGTTCACCTCTCTGCTGTGTGATTCAGACTTCTAAAGAAGAAAAATATGTGTACGTGAGGTTCAAAGTTCTGTTGTGAGACTACAGACTAACACACAGAAATATTAATTATAAAAACTTTATGTAAACTTTACAAATTTAAATATTTACCCTACAATATGATATAAAATGCAAATTCATCTTACTATTTTAACAGTATTATTTTTTTATGTATATTTACTGGACCTATTTGAATTTAAAGGTTCAGACCCGACAATATTTGTTTTGAAAGTTTACGTAACTCATTTAATTACATTTATGACCCTACAATATTATATAAACTGAAAATTTAACTGACTATTTAGGGTTCAAGCCATACAATAATGTTGGTTATGCAAATTTACCAGACTCATTTAAATATCAGTGTTTGGACCTACAATATTATAAATTATGCAAATATACCTCACAACTTGCATATTAAAACTATGAACCTACTGTAGTATAGAAAATGCAAATTCATCTTACTATGTAGCATTTTTATGTATATTTAAGTGAACTTTTTCATTTTTAGAATTTGGCAGATACAGTATTTGTTTTACAAATTTACATGAATTATTCAGATATTAAAATTAGGACCCTACAAAATGATTAACTATGCAAGTGGACCTCATAAATTTAAATATTATGGTTAAGACCGTACGATATAATTTAAAATTAAAGTTTTATCTGACTAATTAGGGTTTGGACCAGGCAGTATTTGTTTTACAAATGTACCAGACTCATTTACCTGCTATGGTTGGGACCCAACAATATTCTATATTTGCCCAACTCTTTAAATATTAAGAATAAGAGCCTAGACGATTATATAGAATAGGAATTTATCAGACTAATTAAGGCTCAAATCATACAATATTGTTTGCTATGCAAATGTACTGGACTCATCTACATATTAAAATTAGGACCCTACAATACTTGTTGTACAAATGTAAATATTAAGGTTAAGACCCTGTAGGATAATGTAAAATGCAAATTTATCGAACTAATTAAGGTTTGGAACATTTAGATATTGAAATCATGGCCTCACAATATTAGTATTTATACAAATGTACCTCACAAATGTAAATGTTAGATTCAAGACCCTGCAATATGATAAAAAAGAATAAAAAATGAAGGTTCAGCCCATAAAATATTATTTGTTCTGCACATTTACTTGACTTATTTGAATGTTAAGGTTAGTACTGCACAATATAATCTGCTCTAACAAATGTACTGACTGATGTAATGACTAATTTAGATCATTAATTAAAGTTGAGGCCCTACAAAACTACACATGGAAAACCTCCAAAATCCAAATATTTCATATGAGCAGACACATTGACAGCAATCATTTGGTAAATATTTGTAGTAACAATCAACTAAAGTTTACATGTCTTTGTTTTTTAACGTAATCTCTTGATGTTAAATGTTACATATTAAGGTTAGGACCCTACAAGATGAATAATTATGCACATTTTTGTACAAATGGGCTGTTCTGTCTGAGGTTGTTGGGTGAGAAGTGATGTTAAAGTTGTGTTTTTTAGGACTGTAAGTGTTGTAATCTTACAGGAATAACAGTGAGCCGAGTGTTTGTGAGGTAGGAGGGGAAGTGTGGAGGGAGGATGGGAGTGCAGCACATCCTCCCGTTGTTCGGCTGAACTCCACCAGGCTCCCGCTGCGAGCGGAGAATAGCTGCTTCCAGCTCCGATTTCCTTGTTCAAGCCGCTGTCTTTGGTGTTCGTCTCTTTCATGTGCAGTTCAGGTTTGCAGACAGTTTGGACAAGCTGATGATCGTGGTCGGGACGGTGATGGCGATGGCCAATGGCACCGTGCTTCCCGTCATGTTCATCGTGTTCGGAGACATGACGGACAGCTTCATTCAGGACGCAGCTGATCACATGAACGGCAGCTCCGGCAGCTCCGGCAGTGAGTGCCCAACTCAATCCAATAAATAAAAACATAAGGAGGGACGTCACACTTTTTAACTGTTTTTTTTTTTTTGTCAACTTTGTGTTTTCAGATTTTACAAACATGCACGTAAACAGCACCTTACAATCGGACATGACGACGTAAGACTTTGTGTTTTTTTTTTCATATTAATACTGAATATTAGAATTATAAGAACTTTTTTTATATAGCACATTTGAAAACAAAGGTTTACTAAGTGCTTTGACAGACAAAGCTAAAAGCAGCAATTAAGGAGTTAAAACAAGAAAACTAACACAAAAATGCAATATGTCAACAAATAAAATAAACACAAGTAAAATAATTCCAATATACTTAACAAACTTAACTATTAAGGTTACGACTCTACAGTATTTTTAATTATCCAGATAGACCTTACTAAATTAAATATTAACGTTAGAACCCTACAATATTAGTAGTTATGCAAATGAACTTTACAGATTTAAAAATTGAGAGAAAGATCCTCCTGTATTATAGAAAATACAGATTTATCTGATTATTTAAGGTTCAGCCCCAACAATATCTGTTGTAAATTATAGGAATTTCCCTGACTATATTAGATATTAAGGTTAGCAGCCTACATTATTATTATTATTATTATTATTATTATTATTATTATTATTATTATTATTATTAATAATAATAATAATACAAATGTATTTTTTAAAATTTACATATTAGTGTTTGGACCCTTCAATATGATAAATTATGCAAATTTACATCACAATTTGAAATATTAAGGTTCAGACCCTTCAATATTGTGCAAATTTCCTTGACTCATCTATACATTAAGGTTTGGATTCTGTAGTATTTGTTGTACAGTTGTATGTAAATATTAAGGTCAGGCCCCCACAAGAGTATTATACAAATATATCTGATGATGATTTTTGGTTTGCAGATTTACTCGACTGATTTAGACGTTCAGGTTAGGAGCCCACAGTATTATACCCAGAAACCCCAATAAATCCCAAATGCTGAATATCAGATCCAATAATCAGCCGATAATCAGTCGACCCCTACTTCATGTGATCATCTTGTTGTCTTTCTCGGGTGAAAACGTCTGTTCTGTCCCTTCTCGTCCGGCAGCTTCGCCATCTACTACTCCATCATGGGAGGCGTGGTTCTGTTCGCCGCCTACCTGCAGGTCTCCATGTGGACGGTGGCGGCCGGTCGGCAGGTCAAACGCATCCGCAGGTTGTTTTTCCACCGGATCATGCAGCAGGACATCGGCTGGTTCGACATCAACGAGACGGGAGAGCTGAACACTCGACTCACAGAGTGGGTAACGTAGAGATATCACCAGTGTGATGCTGAAGCGTTCTTATCAAACAGGTCATTTTCTCAGGTAGCAGGTTAATAATTTAGTCTGTATAATCAGCTGATAGCGACAGATCCCAGTGGGAATGTCCCAGAGCCCTGCTGACATTTATGAATTAGTTGTTTTGTCTGATCAACTGTCTAAAGTGGAAATATTTTCAATTTACTGAGATGAAAGAATTCACTGCAGAAGCTGGAACTAGTGATTCAGCTCAGCATTTTATCTCTATTGTTAAGCATGTTTCCTTTTTACAGACACAGAAGAAATGATCATATATTGTGTTACTTACTCGGGTGTTAATACTCGTCACATTTTGACTCACTGTGGGTTCATGTTTCACTGCAGCATTAAGTCCTGCACCCCTATGGAGACAGAACAACCACGACTAGAAGGAGAGAGAACTCCGAAATGTGACCCATCTGCACAAAATCATTGTGCCTTGGGTTATAGCTGAGATACAGCCCGAATTACGTAAACACATGATACAGTATTGATGTTGGGTTTATTACTTAGATGGGTCCATTTAGTTGTTTTCTACATATAGGCAACATATGATATCACACATCGCTGTCAAATACCATCAGGCGCAGATGTCTTCTGGGCAGAATGACACAGTTAGAATGAAAAAAAAACCTAAAATATCTATATATGTATAAAAATTTAATTTACGTTGATTATTTGTTTGATAAAAATTGAAAAAACTGAATCAACATGTGCAACAGTTTTCCAGGTACCCACAGGTGTTACTGATACTGGAAGAACAAATGGTAGCTCTATGTGTTGTTGATATTTTACCACCTCATTTATTGTTTTATTTCCAACACTGTTATCTCCTGTCTGCTCTGTGTGAACACGGCCTGCAGCTCAATCCAGGTCCACTCAATGTTCATCACTGTTGGCCACAGCTGAGACTAACGCTTATTCAGGTGCACTCAGGAGTCCAGAATCTGGTCTATTTTTCCATAAATTTGAGTCACAGCTGAGTCATTGTGGAGAGGAGTTCGGTTTTTGCAGGATCTGTTTTGTGCAATTATTTGTTGTTGTTTTTTTTCGCAAAATTTAAAAAGACAAATGTAAAATATCACTGCTTAAAGCTTATTTTTTGTGTTTTTATACTTTCTCCTTTGAAAAATGTTCTAATTTTGGACTTTTTTTTTTTTTTTAAGATAACATTTTTCCACCCACTGGCAGGTTTTGTGGTTCAAAGATTTCACAAAAATGCTCTCTGTTGTTTCATGAACGCTGCTCCGACGATCACGGCTGTTGCATTTGCGTTCACAGTGACGTCTATAAGATCCAGGAGGGCATCGGAGACAAGACCGGCATGCTGATTCAAGGTTTCACCACCTTCATCGTGTCCTTCATCATCGGCTTCACCAAAGGCTGGAAGCTCACGCTGGTCATCCTGGCCGTGAGTCCTGCGCTGGGCTTCTCTGCCGCTCTCTTCAGCAAGGTTTGTGGATCTTCTCTTCTCGAACGCTCGACGTCGGTCGTGAATGAACGCCGTCTAACTGTTCTCGTCCTGAACAGGTGCTGACCAGCTTCACGAGTAAAGAGCAGACGGCTTATGCCAAAGCTGGTGCTGTGGCAGAGGAGGTGCTTTCCTCCATCAGGACGGTGTTTGCTTTTAGTGGCCAAGAGAAGGAGATCGAAAGGTGGGTTTGCACTTTAAGCAGACTTTTTGGCAACTTCATTGTCATTGATCCTTTGTCAAGTGGATAAAAAAGCAAATAGTAACAATAACAATAACTACACATATGAAATGAAATGAAAAATACTTTATTTATCCCAGAAGGAAATTCAATCTTGTAAAAGCTCACTTTTTTTTTCTTTTTTTTTACACATTGAATAAAGTGATCTTGATGAAGTGTTACAGTTTTAAGCTTACATTTTTCCGATTGAGCAGCACGTCACACTTTCCATTTCTACAGTGTCTGGCTCTGATTAATGGTGTAACTCTGACATGCCTTTCATACGTGCATGAAAGCCTTCTTGTCATTTTTTTGCTCAGCAAAACAACCCATTTGTGCAGAGCAGATAAATATCAAATCCACAAAGTGATCACAGTCTCGGCAGAAAAAAAGACTGTAACTCAATAAAGCCCTGGAAAAACTGAATTAGTGTTTCCTGCAGATGCTACATCCATTCTACATCCCTTCATTTGTGTGCTGCTGCTGTCGCTGCAATCTAATTTCAAATCGACCCCCAATCCTGCCTTCAGTACAACATTTGTTTGGCCCCTCAGATATCATAAGAACTTGGAGGACGCTAAGACGATGGGGGTGAAGAAGGCGATCTCTGCTAACATCGCCATGGGCTTCACCTTCCTGATGATCTACCTGTCCTACGCTCTGGCCTTCTGGTACGGCAGCAGGCTCATCGTCTCGGGGGAGTACACTATCGGATCCGTGCTGACCGTGAGTGACCCATCGAACATCTGCATTGTTTTGTATCGGTTAAAAGGACGTTTGGGTGCAACTGATTTATCTTTCAGGTGTTTTTCGTCGTGCTGATCGGAGCTTTCTCGCTGGGACAGACGTCTCCCAACATCCAGACGTTCGCCAGCGCCCGAGGGGCTGCCCACAAAGTGTACGCCATCATCGATCATGTAAGAAAAAGTCGCACAAGCCCAGAGAAAGGAAAATCTCTGCTGCTTGACAGTTGTCAGTTTGCGTTATCGTGCCTGCAGTCTGGACCATGGCGCTCTGCAGAGCTGCTTTGATGCCGGAGTCGGTAATGAAACGCTGGATTTTGCTCTAATTGGAGCTCCTGCTGTTTGAATGAAGGACCAGCAGGTCGTCTGGTTGATGTTTCACAGCTGCGACTCTCCCCAACCTTCTTCCACTGACTGAATTCAGCTTATTTTCCCAAAAAGAACTGTGCCACGTGGTTACTAACATAGTGAGATTATGATGGATTCCAGTTTTTCAGTCTCTTGAGTGAGCAACAGAGAAATGAAGCAGAACCAGTCGGTTGAACTGAAACGCTGTTAGGATAGTTTTAGACTAAGTCCTGCCTGCAGCTGCTCTCTGACGGCTCCTGTTTAGTCTTTCACTGGAAAAACACACTCAGGTTAGTTTGGAAAAAGCAGATGCAGGATATGAGAAACTCCTGGTTTAGTATCACTCGTGTTTGCACATGAACACAAACGCACACAGCTTCGAGCAAAACTGAAAAAACATGAGATCTCCTCTCAGGGTTTTTTTTAATTGTAGGTGATTGTGGACACCTTTTAAAAGGCAGTAGACTTGGTTTTTATTTACTTTATCTATTTAATTACATTCCTTTGTCTCTTTTATACCCCGAATGTTGCTCTTGTTGTTCATTGAGAAGCACAAAGGTGCTTTAGAGATAAGATTTACTGTCCTGTCCGAAGGGTTCAGACGTCCAAGCGAGACAAAAAACAGTCTCAAGTAATCATCGACACAGAGCTGAACCTTTCTCAGCAGTGAAGCAGGAGGCAGAATAACACACTTGTGCGTGCGTGTGTGTGTGAGTGTGTGTGTGTGCAGCAGTGAAAACACAAAGAGCTGTGGAAATAAACATTAGCCTTGTTAAACACGGTGGGCCTAACCTGCAGGGCTAACCGCCTTCCTCCCATTGTCTGTTTGAGCTTATGATAAGAATCGTTTTCTTGATCCCACCAAACTACAAACCAGAACAGAGCAGAGGATTCGAAGTGAGTGAAATGTTGTCGGCTCTTTGTCTTGACAGAAACCGGCCATAGACAGCTATTCAGACACTGGCTTCAAGCCTGACTTCATCAGAGGAGACATAGAGTTCAGTAACATCGACTTCAGCTATCCCTCAAGGCCAGACGTCAAAGTATGTTCCCCACTGACACTTTTTTTATTGAATCCACAGACATTAGACTGCTATCAAAATGTGCCTCATAACTGAGATTGTTGTTGTTTGTAGATCCTACACAGCCTGTCTCTGAGTGTGAAGAGCGGACAGACCATCGCCTTAGTGGGCAGCAGCGGTTGCGGTAAAAGTACCACGATCCAGCTGCTGCAGAGGTTCTACGATCCTCAGGAAGGAACTGTAAGTGAGAATTTCTAAAGTGCTTCATGCAAACGGTTGAATGTTTTTCATCATATAACAGACTGGACGCACAACAGCTGAAATAAAGCAACCAAAGTAGAAACTCAGTGCAACAAAACGGAATACATCTGTGATCACTAAACTGAGTCCACCTGCATCAGGGCTCCAAATTGATTATGAGACTCCACAAAGATGAAAAAGTGTACAAGAAGACCAGTAAGTGACTAGAAATCAATGAAACACAGCTGCAGCAGTAACCAGGAGGTCTAGAAGGAGCCATAGTAGCACTGATCAGGGCTGCAGTGGTCGTCCTCCTACAATGACTCCACAGACAGTCAACTACTTTTACAGTCTAACTCTGAAAAACTGGTGGCAGCTGCTTCAGACTTGGCACAAGGGTTATCAAGTTTCTATGAAGCTCAGACAGTAAGAGGGACACTTCAGAACATCCACCTCTATGGACGGAGGACAAGCAAAACACCTGTTTGCTGTCCGCACATAACTGCAAGATGAAACTGTGCTAAAGAACATGAAAAGAAACTTGATGAATATTTGGAGGCTTTTCTTTGATCAGATGAGACCAAAATAAATTTGCTGGGCTCAGATGGAGTCCAGCATGTTTGGTGTGAACCTGACCAGGACCACCACAGTGGATGCATCGTCCTGACAGTGAAGCACGGAGGTGGCAGCATCATGATATGGGGCTGCATGAGGGCAGAAGGTGTTGATGACATTTATAGATGAATGTTTGAGGATAAACCAGAATACTGGCTGACTAGATGACTTCCAGTCTGCAGAAGCTGGAAGAAGAGGAATATTCCAGCAGGAGAACCATCCAGAAGAACAACATCACACAAGAGTTTCTGAAGAAGAAAACCTCGACCGGGACAAGCATGTCGACAGATTTGAATTGAATAGAACATCTTTAGGGTATTATAAATTGAAAGGCAGAGCAGCACAACCACTCTAGCAAAGAGCAGCTGAAGAAAATAGCCTGTGAAGAATCAGAGATGAAGGTGGACATATGAAGTATTGAAAAAACAAAAGACTGGAATCTCAGTAATTTAAGGACTTTTGTTGCCTTGAGTTCCTACTTTGGGGCCTGTATTGATAATATGGTTAAATTCGTTGATTTTATATCGGAGAGCAAATATCCACTACTTAACTTTGAAATACTGCAACTGTAAGGTGATACAAATTTGAATCATTTGACATTTAAGGGATATTGCACAAGGTTGTACTCACTTCTGTTGTACAGAAATTGTAGTAAATGTACACAGTGACAGTAAAGCTTCAAACTAACTGCTGCATCTTTTGAATTCGTCGTTGCAGGTGTGCATCGACGGTCATGATATCCGCTCTCTGAATGTCCGCTACCTCAGAGAGATGATCGGGGTGGTGAGTCAGGAGCCCATCCTCTTCGCCACCACCATCACTGAGAACATCAGATACGGTCGACCTGACGTGACGCAGGGGGAGATCGAACAGGCCGCCAAGGAAGCCAACGCCTACGACTTCATCATGAAGCTTCCCGATGTAGGACTTCAATCATGAATCCTCTGTGATTGTAAATAACTCTGAGCGGCTGTTGATAACATTGAGACTCTTGTCGTTGAGCAGAAGTTTGACACGCTGGTTGGAGATCGAGGGACCCAAATGAGCGGAGGACAGAAGCAGAGGATTGCAATTGCTCGAGCTTTAGTCCGCAACCCCAAAATCCTCCTGCTGGATGAAGCCACGTCTGCTCTTGATGCTGAGAGTGAGACTGTTGTACAATCTGCACTGGATAAGGTACAAACACACACAGACACTTCTTCTGTTTAAGGGTGACGTTGTACTTTCAATTGACATGCACTTTTCTGCAAACATTCATGTTCCCCTGAGAAGTAATCAGTGTGGTGATTCATCCTTATTTTTACATTTTTCACTAAAATTGCCATGTCCAAAATTAGTCAGTCTCCTTGAAATTATCTTAACTTTTGAAGAAAATGCAGCTTCTAGACCATTCCAAGTGGGCATACTAATTTCTACCATGTTCTAGAGGGTTCTAATCCACTATAAACTGAGAACAGCTGATGCAGTGGTTCTGTAGTCAACTCCAAGTCATGAATTAAACCAAAGAGCTCGGTGAGGACCTTCAGTTGCACATTGTTGCTGCTCACAAGACGTTTAAAGGCAATAAAGTCATATCAAGTGTTTTCAAGGACCAGTGTTCAGTTTGAAGCATCATGATGAAGTCCAAGGAG